GTCAATGATAAACTCCTCTCTTTCTTCTGTCAGTGCCAGATTCTAACTAAGGGTGAACATGATACAATTTGGAGCTGAACCTCTGTGCCCTAGTTTAAAAAAAATCATTTTACCTGTCTAATTTCACTACCTACCTTCATCAGAGAAGAGCTGTCATATTTTGATGCAAATTCCAGCAATTTACATGTTTCAAGCTGGCAGGCAATGTCTTCCTAGAAAAACTTGCCACCCTTCCACAATCTCCTGTGAAATGGCAAACCAGTTTAGAAAGATAGAGGAGATTGGATTACCTGTCTGCACCAGATCATTGTTTCTAGGAGATAATCCATAAATGATTAAGCCTTCTAATGTTATTGAGCAATGTAAGGAGGGCTGCCTGTGACCTATTTCACCCTTTTACATTGCTATTGTGGGAGTAGCTTTACTGTATAAATTGAATTGAGTGTTTTCATTCTTCTGTTTTTATTGAATTGTAACTGTAATTTCATTACTTTTCTCTGTTTCTTTCAATATTATTTCAGAATCTCTTGGAAGGAGTGTAACTGTTGGTTACACTCATATCCAAAATGTCAGTGGACACACAGATGGCTAACTGCTTTTTTTTCCTGATATTTTCCTTGTACTTTCTTAAGCTATATTATTTCAGAAAGTGATTTTTTTTAATGTTTCATGCTTCACATTTTCTAGAAGATTTTTCCAATTGTAAAAGGAGGTGAAAAAAAAAGAAAAAGTCATCCATTCCTTTATGAAATCATTACTGCAATTATTTCATTAGCAAGAAACTTCAGGTTAAATTCACACTTCAGTATTGCAAAAGCTGAGAAACTCAGATGTTATGCAAAGCAGATCTGTGTTATCTCTGTTTAATACAGAGCATGGAAACAGGAAAAAATCCCTACCTACAGCTGGGTAAGTCAGTAGTCCCAGAACAATATTCCTAAACCTTGACACCCCCATGTGATGATCCTGCCAAACCTGGAGTCCCTTTGCACACCATCCTATCCAACCAATTGTTGGGATTAACACTGCTGCCCTAGGGTACTGTTAATATGTTGCAATTTGGAAAACTTTCCTCTGAAAGAGGAAGATGATTTTGTACAGCTAAAAACAAATATGTGTCACCATGAATATGCAATAAGGTACCTGTGGCTGCAGCATTAGTGCAGAGAGAGCACAGGGCAAGCTGGAGCTCCTAGGAAAGGCTGCTGATCCACTTGGCCCTCCAAAGAACAGAACAACTGCCAGGGAAGGTAACTACAGACCCTGAGCAGTTTATACCATATTTACACAAAGGAGGAAAATGCTCAAGTAATACCACCTGTGAAGTAAAAGGGTTTTTCAAATAACATGTCAGCACTCAAAAAATTCTAGCATCCCCTGCTCCTTGGTTTTTTATTAAAATAATTAAAATGTGAAATAAATGTTCATTAAGTTATTAAGGAAGTTATGACCAGGACATTTTATCCTATCTAGAACAGCCCAAACAGTCTGTATAATTACAGCCATTATCCGGAAATTTAGGGTATAGATAACAATGCAATTATTAATCAATGGCCCAGAAATTGCCTCTCATTACAAAACAAGGAAAGCATCTGCAAACAAACCAACAGGAGTGTGTCATTTGCAAAACAGCTCATGAAACCAGGAATATCTGGTATTGTTTTGAGGGGAAAAATGTACAGATGAAATACAAAGCACTCAGATTTGCAGGACTCCTTGGACCCTAATCCTGGAGTAATACCAGGAAATGCACTGGCTGGGAGCACTGGCTGCACTTCTCCCTCATCTCAACAGCAGCAATAAATCTTTTGCTGAGGATATTCAGCCAACAAGGGAAAAAGAAAAGGACTGAAGAATGAAGACTTTTTCTGCAGGAAGTTGAAAGGAGTGACTGTTGTCATCTTATCGCAGGGGTTCCACACTGTTGTCTCCTTATCACAAAAGTTTCATGCCTTCTTGGTGTTTTCTCGTGGACAGCTCCTCAGAGCTGTGACATTTCTTCTTCATAAAGCAGCCAACTTACTCCAGTTCCCCTCTCACCCAGCCACCCCACTCTTTATAGCATCTTCTTCTCATTGCTTACAGCTGTGGCCTGTTAAAGTCAGGCCTGTTCCTAATCTTTGATAATTGGCCCAGCTGCAGCTCCTTAGGGGTAAGATTACTTTCTACACTATCTTTATTATCTTATATTCTATCCCCCTACAAGTGACTGCAGCCCAAATAAGCTTTGGGAATACATCAGTAATCTACTGTGTAAAAAGAGGGGCCAGAAAAATAGTTTGTATAACAGAACTGCCAACAGCAGAGCAACAGAGACCTAGTGTGGCATCACAAGCGAATGAAAGAGAAAAAAAAAAAAAAAAGAAAGAAAAATCTTTTTTACTTCATCTACCTTAATATTTACCTAGATTAAGTAGACAACAGTACTTAGGGTAATAAACTATCATATCCTGTCCTACAAAACCTCAGCAGTGTAAGTGAACTATAAAACATGATGTTCTCTTCACTTGTTGAAACACAAATAGAATCTGTCCCACTCCCAGAACAAACACAAAAAGGGCATCCCTGAATCATCCCCCTGTGCCTGGCTCTGTGCAAGAACAGGAGCAGGGAGCGAGACAGGAACGTTTGCACCTCACAACACTCCCAGCACACCCCTGAGCAGCTGCAGCTCCCCAGTGTAGCCCCAGACTCTGCCTGCACACACATTGTGCTGCGCTGCAAGGCTGTGTTGCCATCTTATCACAGGGGCTCCATGATGTTGCCTCCTTATCAAAAAAGTTCCATACCTTCTTGGTGTTTCTCGTGGTCAACTCCTCCAAGCAGACTCTTTCTTCCTCACAAAGCAGCCACTGACTCCAGCTCCCTTCTCAAGGGGCCACCCCACTCTTTTATAGCATCTTCTTCTCATTGCTTACAGCTGTGGCCTGGTAAAGTCAGGCCTGTTCCTAATATTTGATAATTGGCCCAGCTGCAACTCCTTAGGAGTAAGATTACTTTCTACACTATTTTCTTATATCCTCTCCCCCTACAAGGCTGAGGACAGGCTGTGCATCCCTTCTGATATAAAATATTTTATTCGAATGCAACAATGGGGAAGACAGGCAAGGAGAATCAATTCACTGAAATGCAGAACTAGAATTAGCAGGTGCTGGAGGAAAACAATCCATAACCAGGAAGCACTGCTTCCCTTTCTTTCCTGCTGCTCCTTGGGATTCACTTTTAATGCAAGATGAAGCCAAGGAGCTTTCACAACTGAGATCTCACACAGCAGAAAATTTCCTTTGCTAGTAAGTTTTTAAATTTGAAAGATACCTTTTATGTACAGTAATCTTGCAAAAAGGGGCACTTTCATGCAGACATTTAAGATGCCATTTGGAACCATTTTTTTAGAAAAGTTTTTGTCATTTTCTTTCTGAGTTCTTAGAATGTTCTTGCTCTGTAAAGTAATTTTAAAACTTTAATTTCCTCTTATTGTCTTTCTCTAATACAAACTGTTAGACAATAATGAAACATTTTATATCAAAGTATTGCCTTTAAGAGGAAACACTACAGAACTAGGGAAAACCCAAAATTTATGGCTTAGGCTCTTCTGTGGTGAAACCATTAGAGAGACATGGACTATTTATGAGCTCTAACACATTTCATATGACTTTTGTTAAGGTTTTTACTGATGCCTGTGCTCTGGGGTTCAGGGGTGAGTTACTGGGATGAAGTTTTCTCTCTAGATTACTTTTTTCCTAAGAAAAACATTTTTACTTTACGCTAGAACTGTTTGACACCAAAACAAGCACATTATTGTTCTGCCTCAAAAGCTTTACAGTTTTAAAAAAATATATTAAACTGGAACTTGATATTTCCACTTCTTAACAGAAAGACTTTTTCTGGAATCACACAACTGCTGGGTCCTTGTTTATGGTTTGTGCATTAAATGTCAGCTATCATGGGAGAGGACTAACCTGTAAAGCTGTATTAAAATCAGAAGTTTGTCCATCTGCAACAAAGAACATCACCTGCGGTAAAACAGAGTATAGCACACATTCTTTACATTCTCAGGAGGGTCAGGAGTTTGCCACCAACAAGGTTTTGTTTAGAAATTGACAAACAAGGCTTTGTTTAGAAATTTACAAGGTTTTGGTTTTTTCCTGTCAGATTGCACAAAATGCTACAAAGTACTTGAATTTGAGTGAACTTATCTTGGAAGTAATTAATGCCTTGGTCATGATGAATAATCTATACTTTCCTGTTCCTAAAATCACCGGTAATTGAAAAAGCTGAAGAACAAAGCTCAGTGCACTGCATGTTACTTTGTTCTCGTTTCAGCAAACGCAGACATGTACTACATAGCACTCTACATATGCCAGTTTGCTGTCCTGTGTACCTTTACTTTACCTGAGAAATGTATCTGTGGATGCTTACTATACCTGAAAGAAATATTTAATCCCTAAATTCTTCTAAATCATTGAAAATTCCATATCCCACTGCAGACTGTGAACTATTGACACACCAGAAAATAGACACGGGAGCAAACAGCATCGCCCTCCAAGTGCTGGGAGAGAATTCTGAGCCTGTGACCGAGCTCATCGCGCTTCCCAAGGCAGCCTGCAGCAAGCCCCGGATTCTTTGGGTTACGATTGGGGTAAATAAATAACACCACGATGCGGGGGCCGGCCCTCAGCCCTGCCCTCAGCCCTGCCCACGCGCGGCGGCGAGGGCGCGGCCCTGCCCGAGGCCCACGGGGCTCCGCCACGGGCCCGCGGCCCCGCAAGCGCTCAGTCACGGGAACTGCGAGGGGAGAGCGGGGACCCGGGAAAGAGCTGCGGTCCCGAGTTGAGAAGCGAGACCCGGGCAGGGCCCGAGAAGGGCCCGGCGGGGCGGGGCGTGGGCCCTGGCCGGTGGCGGAACTGCAGGCGCGGGCCGGGCGCTCCGGCCGGCGGCGGGGCCGGGCGCGCCGCTGCACCGACGCGGCTGTTGCCGTTCCGCGGGCGGGGCTGCCCGGATCCAAGATGGAGGCGGCGGGCAGAGCGGGGCAGGAGATGAGCCTGGCGGCCCTGCGGCGGCACGATCCCTTCATCACCGGCATCGCCGACGTGACCGGCCAGGTCGCGCTCTACAGCTTCAGCCCCAAGGACAACGAGTGGGTGAGTCCGGCGGGGCGGGCCCGGCCGTGCCCTGCCCCGGCAGCCGCCTGGCCCGGCGCGCCCGCACGGGGGCCGCGCGGGGCTGCGCTCGCCCGGGGGGAGTTCGAGGTTTGGGTGCGTTCCCCCCGCTTGTGCTGGGGGACAGCAGAGAGAAGGAGACGAGGAGAGTAAGCGAGAGGGAGAGCAGAGAAAGAGGAGGAGGAAGAGACAGAGGAGGAGGAGGGAGAGGCGAGGCCGTGTGTGCGCTCGGGGAGGCGGCGCCGTTCCCCCTCGGACCGGGGCTGGAGGGCGCTTTGGCTGCTGGTGGCCATTGGCTTTTTCTCTTTTTAATCGTACTTTGTTATTGTTGCTCGCGCCTGTTGCACAGAGTCCTAACTGGGGAGGAGGGAGATTTAAGAGATGTGAGTGTTCGTCATTGCATTAAAGCACAGTTTGGCTCGACTGCCGGGTTCATCACGGAGCCATAAAAAGGGGAATACGGGGAGCTGCACGGTGTCAGGGCAGCCCTGGAGCTGCAGCAGCTTCCCTCGCACACGCCGTGGGGAGGATTGCTCTGGGAGCTGGGGTCTGACACAGAGCCATGGCCACAGTCCTGCCCTGCTCTGCTGTTCTGCTTGGAGCACAACTGGAACACAACCTCTGCCAGATTTGGAACCTGCCCCATCAGGCCCAGCAGGGGAAGGCTGTGGAACGCTGTGTGTGTATCACATCGACAAATAGAGAGAGTGAGCAAAGTATTTTGGCAGCAGGTTTAACTTCCTGATCTTTCTAATAAAAAAAACTAGTAGTTTCTGAAAACAGCAGAGCGTATTTTTAGACCTGTGATGTCAAACCTTATGGAAAGGTAAGGATGTTGTAATTCTCTCATTAAAACACTGTCTAAAACCTACTTGTGTGAACAAGCTCATCCCTGAAGTGCTTTTGTTGTTTTTTGTAGGAGAAAACCGACATAGAAGGGACCTTATTTGTGTATAAAAGGTAAGAGGTGGTTTGGGTTGGTTTTTTTGGCGGAGGGGGGATATAGTGGTGGTGATGTTTGCTTTCTTTCCTTAAGAAAACAAACTCCAGATGGCTTCCTGCAGAGCTTTCATACTCATCATTTTTTGCTTGTCCAGCTGTTAACTGCTGTGTACTCACTCAAAAGAATAAATTCTGCACATGGGTGAGTAACTCTGTCAAAATCCCCTAAAAGTATTGCTGAGAAAGCATAAAACCTGAATGCCACATATGTACCCACATCAAAAACTGGTTTATTGAGCTTATTTTATTAATCCAGTAGCACTTGTTAGTGCATTGAGTTTGTTAAGGGCCAAGTCTCCCTTTGTCTCCTGAAATCCATGAAGCTGATTATGAAAACAATAGAGATGAGAAATTAAATAATATGTTTTAATTTACTCCTGGAATGTGGCATAAATTTTGTAAATGGATGTAGTTGCCCAAAAAGTGGAGATTTTGTAGTGTCTTGTTTTGGGGGCTAATTGATTTCCTGTCCAAACCATGGGAGAAATTTCCAGTTCTCTAGGACAAGTAAAAGGGGTGAGGAGGAGAACCTGCACATAAAATCAATAATAAGTTCAAGTTTAAATTATAGACAAATAAAAAAATCTAAATGAAATAACACTTTGTTGAAAGTAAGAATATAAATAATGCAGACTTAAGCCATCCTGAAGCAAACTGTTATAGTTGTTCATTACAATATTTTATCCTGGCACTATGTAGGGATTTGAGTAACCACTTCCTGCTACTTCAGCTCCCAGTTTGGAAATACTTAGTGTGAGAAAGTGAACCAAACTTTAAAAAAAAATCAAAGCAAAAACCAAAGCAAAAAGCTTTCAGTGTCACTAGCTGATGATTTCAAACAAGTTCTCTGTGGTGCATTAAGAGATTCACTTGTGATGGTAATGGTTGTTTACCCTGTTCTTGGAAGCTCTTGACAGGTTGTAAATCATTAGGTAAAAGTGGCCACATTGTTACAGAAATATTTATATTTACCAGGTGAGTGTGTCTGATTTTTAACCTGCCTTCATTGTGCTTCTGTTGTTGGTTATACACCAGTTTACAGGCACAGCTGAGTGCTGACAGGACATTCATACAGCAAGAGAAAACATATCTAAAACTGTCTTGAACTTTCCGTGCTTGCTCAGTGTTCTCTGTTTCCACTTGGTGTCCAGAAAAAAATATAGATAAATAAAAATTGCTTCACTAAGCAGTACAATTCTGAATAATTTACTTTCAGGACTCTGGGTTAAGTCTTTATTTCCAGAGTCTCCCTTTAGGAGGAAATTGCTGTTTATGGTTCCCCCTGTAAGTGTACTTCATGCTATTTAAGACAGGAGCTCTTTTTTATTGTGCTGTCTATTTGCAGTAAGGTAATGGTGCTGTGTAAGTGGTTTGGTTTTTCTCCTCTAATAAAAAAAATTCTGAAATGCCTCAAAATGATCTTATGTCAAGTATTGAATACATTTACATTTTAATGGTGGACCTGCCCTAGTTTTTTTGAATATATTTTTCAGAGGCATATCTTCGATTCAGCAGTTTAACAGTGTAGAACTGTAATGTTAATCCTAATCCTGCTTTGAGGTAAGTGTAGTTTGAAATTGAAATTAGGTGGCATGCCAAGAAATGGCATAGAAAAACAACTGTGAGAGCTGCAGGGCTGCTAAAGCTTCACATAATAAAGCAATGGAAATTTGAAGATTAATTCATAACTTGGTTTCAGAAAATTACTTCTGTTGATGAAGATATTAATCCTTGGTTTTGTTTTAATTGACACAATAGGTCAGCTTCTCCTTATCATGGTTTTACGATAGTGAATCGACTGAATATGCACAACCTGGTTGAGCCAGTAAATAAAGATTTGGAGTTTCAGCTCCATGAACCTTTTCTGCTCTACAGAAATGCAAGCTGTGAGTATAACTTTCTCTAATCCAAATAAACTTCAGGTTGTTTTATAACCTAGATCACTTCTGATTACTGTGATGTCTGTTTCAAATACAATGTAATGAGGAGGGTTCCAGTGAAATATCTGATGACTTTTTTCTGTCTACAATGCTAAATTTACTTAAATTGCTGTTCTATTATATTATCGTGACTGCTTGCTTTCAGTAAAAAGCAAATATACTACCAAAGTGCAATATTGCTTTGGTCTTTAATTAATGATTTGAAATGTTTAGATTAAACTTATCTCCCTCCTCCATCAGCATGTCCCCTTGATGGGAACACTGCTTTGGCTGTGCTTTGGTGTACCTAATAGATCAGTCAAATGTTAATCCCTTCCTTTTTTCCTCATGGAAGACTTCTGGGATCTGTAAGAAGCAGGATAGATTCCATCATGGTGGCAAATAACAGCCTAAGGCAGATGATCTCCTTTGTTTCATAATCTTAGCAATCTTCCTTCCATAAGTGTCATAAAGAGGAAGAAGTCAAAACTGATCAGTAAGTTGAAAAGTCTGGGAGGTGAGGGAAGTGACTGGCAACAGACTGGGAGAAGTACTGTGTTGAGTTGGGTGTTTAAGCAGATTGCTTGGTTTGCAAAGAAGGGGAGCTGTAGATGGAGGCAGCAGGGATAAGATGGACCTTAAGGTGTCAGGAAAGAATTGCAGCTCTGAGGTTGGTGACATGAGGGAAGCGAGAAGTTGATTCATTTGTTGGGACTGCTGATGGTACAAGGAAGCAGAAGCTGCTGTGGAATCACCATGGTGTGTGACAGTGACTAGAGGATCATTCAGGGAAGGAATCATAGGATCATTTAGGTTGGAAAATACCTTTAAAATCATCACACCAAACCATTAACCCAGCACTGCACTGTCCACCATTAACCCACATCCCTCAGTGCCACATCTACACATCCTTTAAATATCTCCAGGGGTGGTGGCTCCACCACTGCCCTGGGCACTGTTCCAGGGCTTGACAACCCCTTCCATGAAGCAACTTTTCCTAATACCCAATCTAAACCTCCAGTGGCACAAATTGAGGCCATATACTCTTGTCCCATTACTTCTTATTTGGGAGAAGAGACCAAGCAGCACCTTGCTACAAGCTCCTTTCAGGCATTTGTAATCAGAGAAGGTACAGGCTGTGTGTGAGTTCATTAGAAACCCCTGAAGCCAATTGTTTTCCTTGATAAAAGCTCTCCTTTTCCTGTGGGACCTAAGCGTGTACAATCTGTGGGAGGCTCATGGGTTTAGGATAGAGCTGACATAGAATGGTACAAGGAAGGGAAGAAATTACAGACTGGATGTGGGAATTGCATTCTGAAGTAATCAGGAGTATTTTCTTCCTCTTATTTCTTTGCCATTGACATTTTAAAAGACTTTGGTCGGAAACTCTCCTTTCTTTCATTACCCCATCCTGTCTCCAGTGATTGCAGATGGAAGATGTCCAGTGCAGTTAATATGTCATGAGTTATTTTCTCAGGTGCCACAAATAAACTGCAGATGAGTTTTTCTGCCCTCTGAGTGTGTTCACTTTGTTCAAATACAAGCTTAAAAGCATTGAAAATGGCATCTAAGCTTTTTATTCCTTATAATTTCCACATCACTTACTCCCTTACATTTTGCATTAAGCTGTTTTGTTTTGGATTATTTTCCTTACATAAGGTTTTCTAAATTTTCTGTCCTCTGAAAGAGTTGGAAAACAAATTATATGGTTGAATTGTGTTAAAGCTGTTTGCCTCTGTTTGCACAGTATTTGTGAATTTGCAGGCAAATTTGGATTTGCAGACAAATTTCAACACGTGTGTGTTTTGTTTGTCTGGGTGGATCAGGGGATTCTTGTCCGAGTTCTCTTCATGCAGAAGGATCTCCACTTCCACTCATTGCCTGCTGGCATGAAAAACCTTTGCATTTTTGGAACTAATTCAAATCAGAGGTTTAAGCCAGTGGTGACTATAATGTGTATTTCCAAGGGCTTAATGTCATGTGTCTCTAATGGCTTAAGGTGAAGTTCTTCTGAGAACTCTTAATGACTGAAAGAGGATGGGCTGCTAGTTTGTGTAAGGAGCAGCTTCCTCTTACACAACCCTGTGTCTTGTAGAGTGGCTTTTACTGTGTCCTTGAAGAAATCTCCTGTCATCATTAGAAACCCTCTATGAGTGAGGCTGATTCTGTTTCCTTAGTTTACAAACGGGTGATGGCTCAGACTATCCAGTAAAAACCTAAAATCATGCTAATAGTGCTGTTTGTCAGAGACAAATAGGTACTTTGTGCCTCTGTAGTTACATTGTAACAGGATCAGTAACAAACAGAGATTTGTGTTTCACCAGGGCATGGCAGAAAAGTAGAAAATGATCAAAGCAAAATTATGTCACCATGCATTTGGGGAAGGTTCCATGTCAACAATATGTATATCCAATGTGGCACTACTGTTCTACAAACTTCATGTTCTCTCTTTGTTCTGGGATTCTGTCTTGACTTAAAATGAGGCCAAGTCTGTTCTGTGCAGCAGATCAGACCTCTGGCATTTCTGTCTTCAGCAGCACAGGAGCTGTTCTGGGACAGTGAGTAACCTGCTCCAAGCTGCTAATGACTTATGGGAGGAACTTTGCAAGCACTCTACAAACATTAGTTTTTGCTTGGCTGGAGGCTGTAAGAATGATTTGCCTGTCATACTAGATCATAATATTTTGGTGGAGTTTTACTGTTCTTTTGTAGTTTGACTTCTTCAAACACTCTTACTGTACAAAGGAATTGTTGGTTTGCTGCTTTTCAGAAGTTACTTGTTAAGCTGTAGATGTGAAATATTTTATCCAATTGCACAGAAGCATTTTCGTACTCTCAGACCAAGACTGGGTAATGGCCATTTTATTCTTATGGGAAATTACTGATTTTCACAGCTCTTGAGGGGAATCCTCCCATTTTTGGCAGGGTGGGGGATGAAGGAAACTTCCATGGGCATTTTGGAAGGAGAGCAGATACCTTTCTTATATCTGCCTTTTGCTGTTCTCTGAGCACAATGGAAGACGTTTGGATCAGTTTGTTATTATTCTGTGAGGTTCCCCCCATCCCAATCCTACCTTTTTCATATTTCAGCTTTTAATGGGGAAATCTTTCCTCACTCCAGAATTTTTGTTCTCAAAATTATTTTGGCTACATAATGTGGTTCCAACCCCAAAAGAATACCAAATGCAAAAAGTTGGATATAAGCTGCCCCAACACTTACACCATTTATTTTGTTGGGCATAAGACCCTAAAACAAAGATGATAACAATGTGACTAAGAAACTGTGAGACATTACACCACTTGCAGTAAATAGAAAAAAGGTATTCTTGTTTTCACTGTTATAAAGAACTAAGGAAAGCAAATATCACCAAACATAAACAGATAAGAAGTTATCAAATTGAAAAGAGATTGTTTGACTTACTGTAACATATTTTTAAATCAGAATTACTCTTAAAAGGTAAAAATTTTGAGATTATACTCCATACATAATGTGCCATTTATTATTTCTTAGTCTGGAATAGGTATTGCTGGGTATATTTGATCCTTGTTGAACTCTGCCTCTGGACACATGCACATTCTTTAGAGAACTCAGATTATTTGCTCATTAAATACTGAATACCATTGATTTTTTTTTTTTTTAATGAACCTAAACTTGTTTTCTCTTGTCTGTGTTTTGTGGAAAGCATATTAAACTCTGTTTTAAAAAATGCATACAGTTCAGCCAGTAACAGTAATAACAGTCTAGTCTGAAGTTCAGTACTTCCTTTCAATCTGTAATGTGAGAATCTGGAGCTGTTAGTTAATAGTTTGCTTAATAATTAAGGAAAATTAGTCAAAATTTTAAGCACTATTGAACTTACCTCCTAAAGTCTGCAGGAAAGATTCTTCTGAGCCTTTCTCATTTATAACTTTTCCCTTGTATCGGTGGTGTTGCTCTTGATAAAAAGGGTTTTTAATCCAAGCCAGTTCACCTGGGAGGTCAGACAGGCTGATTTCCATGGTGCACAAAAGACAGATGTTTAGCGTAAACGTTGGGCATTAAAATAAATGGTCCTTGTTTGGTGTGGGGTTTTTGTGGTGTTGTGGTTTTTTTCCTTGCTTCTTATTCCTGTCCAAGGGAAGAGTTAGTAATAGAAAGATAATGGATTTTAGAGAGGTTTATACATATAAGTGGAAAACTCAGTTACAAAGTGCTGTCTTCTGGTCTTGTTGTATTATTGATGAAAACAACTTGTGTCCTGAACAGCAAAAGAGAAATGAGTTGCATTAGAAGTGTTTCAAAGAGCTCCTGACTGGTTTCAAAGCTGTAAGGAAAGTCTCTTATCACACATGTTCCATTAAGTGTAACATATCTGTGATTGCTGAGGCTGCCTGGCTCTCCAGCAAGCACATTAACCCAGTGGTTTGGTTTGAGATAAGAAAGGAGCCTTTTCTTCATATCTTCATAGCAGAAGAAGCAATGCAAGCTGGGGGAGGGGGGGAATGATTGAAAACTATGGAGACATTCTAAAAATACATTGTTTGACCTGAAAGACAGCACTCTAACTGCAAGAGGTTTTCTTCTGTGGTTCAGCTTGCAAAGAAGCAATCCCTCTCCCTCCATATAATACTGTGGTGGCAGTTGAAGTGTTCCTGAGCTTGGGTGCTGCTTGGCTCCTGCTTCTGGGATTGTGCTGTGTGATATATTTGTAAAATGCCTTTAGGTATTGAAAACAGCAAAGGGAGGAACTTCTCCCATTTATTCTAATGGTTTGTAAGTCTATGTGGCAGGCTAATATCTACATGTAGGAAATAAATATGAAGAATGTCAGTGATACAGAGCTGACTGACTGGGGAGAGGTGGCATTCCAGCTGACATTGCTGCTAGAGGAAGTACAAGCTTTAAGAGAGAGAGCTTTATGTCATTTTGCCTCAAACTCTATTTGAGGTGTAAAATGATTATGTATGTGCTTTTCTTTATGGAAGTGAGATGGGGTTGGTTTACATGGTTGCATTATAGGAAGGGTTTCAAAATACAAGTCCTTTTCTTTCAAGAGTTTGAAAAACTCCACTTCCAGTTGTTCTCCTTCACTGTATGGTAACATCAAAACTGGACCTGTAAAATAAAACTTTTCTCTCTCTTCTACCAGCTCTTCCAGATAGTTAATGGAAGTTTTAAACAAATCATCTCTTTGAATGATTTGAGGATGTATTTGTACAAATGGCTGAACTGCCTGGGGGAAGGGAGTGACAGTGTCTGGAATTGCTGAAACTGGCAGTGCTGATGAGTCCATGTGCACTTCCTCTGGCACACAGTTTCACTCTAAGCTTTCCCTTCCTGTGTGTCCCAAGCTTTTTGTTTGTGCTGTCTCATGCTCCAATGGCCTTTTGTGAAGCTGATGCAGAAATGGGATCAAGGATCTGGTCTGGACTAGAATGTACCCAGCTGGCATGAGGGAGGGGGGCCCCTTGGGGTACAATGGGTTAACAAAGTTGTGGGAATGTGGGGGTGGGGACGCTGCCTCTTGCTGCTTACTTAAAATGAGAGCTGAAGTGAAACTACAATTTTATGTTGGCAAGGATGAGGCTTCTGTCTCGCAGTGGCACTTGGCTCTTCCCACTCTTAATCCAGATTATAGAAGAGCCCAAAACCTTCCTTTTGGTATTATTCAGTTGTTAGGCTTGAGCAGGAAGTCTTCCATAATCCTTCTGTTCTCTCAAAAGCTCTTTGGTTTCCCATTTCAGTTTTAATCAGGTTTTAAGGATTGATGCAGACAAGTTTGGAGGGAAGTTGAGTGTTATATGTTTAAATAAATATTTATGGGTCAGTGTCTCTGACAAAAATTACATATGTCAGAGAAGAACACTGATTATGAAAATGGATGACTTCTTTTAGTTTTGTGAAACCTGATTTGTCTGTGGTATGGATTACTCATTACTCCAGGGGTGTCAAAATGCAGTGTAGATCCTACTGAAAGAATTGCTGCTGATGATTACAAACTACTGTTACTTGATTGCTGAAGATGCCACCCAGCATTCAGTGTAGAAAAGCTGGATGGAAAAATTCAGTGGCTTCTGTTGGGTGAAACTCTTGCAAGAACTGCAGTATAAAGGTGCCATCAGACATAGGAATATTCAGCTAATATTTATGCTGGGTGTAGCAAAAAACCACATATTTAGAAGGAGCTGGTAAGAGCCAACTCTGTCTTTGCTATAAGGATGTTCATGATTGAAGTTACATGCACGGAAGGAAGTGTATCGGCAAATATATATTAAATAGTAATAGTAATGCTGTTGGGACACACACTTCTGGGGAAGGGAGCTGAACTGGCAGTACAGGAGGGCACTTGGAAAAAGGAAGATAAACATTCCAGCCTGTGGACTGTACCTGCATTAATGCCCAAGTTGTAATCTGCTGTGCATCTTCATCATATTGTGTAAAATTGTTTTGCAGTGACTCCCTGTGATTGCTTGCCAGTAGTACAAAGTGGAAAAAAAGCCTCATATTCTACGCCAAACAGAGATTTGGATCTACTTGTGGTCTTGTCTAGGCCTGTTTCTGGCAGAATTGAGTGTGACTTTTATCATTTTTCCTATTTAAATATTATTATAAGTTCCATATCTTCATTTCTTCAGCAAGTGTGCTTTTGAAGCAGCTTTCTCCTCTTGGCAGTTTGTCTGGTAATGAAGTCTTTTCTTTAGTGTTAAAGTATGAGCTACTTCTTTAGTCATGTAGCAACCTGGAAACTTTGTAGGTTTCTATGCAACAGAAAATCCAGTTGTATTAAACTGCAAAGTTTAATAGAAGCATTTCATAAGCATTGGCTAGATGTGTGAAATGCTTTTTTATTGGTTTATGTCTTCTGTGCATTGATTTCTTTGTTTATTACTCGAGAAGCTTTGTTATCTATTACTTAAGCTGGAACCTCTAAAGATATAAACACCCAAATAAATACAGCTGGTATTTAATGAAAGAAAGAAAAGTCGTGAACTTCAGCTTGTCCTAGGATGTTCTTCTAGAAATGAGATGTCTACCAGACTTCTTGAGGATTTGGGCACAACAGAGTACACATGGAATAAGTTGAAGGGCCAGAAAAAGTTTGGTAAATAATTGCCCTCTTTGCCATGACTTCACATTAGTTTGAGTGGGCTTTGCTTGAGCTTTTTGAGTATCTTGTGGAGGGAAAAAAAGTGAGTAAAGAAAGAAAAAGGATTTCACTGCGAAATAAAAATCTACCTGTAATGGGAAATGGTTGTGTAAATTTTTTTCAACAGTCCTTTCCTTCACTTTAAGTGTATTTATAATCTGTGATTTCATCTACATAAAATCATTGACATGAACTGCAGTATAAAGATGAGTTTTAAAAGGCTTGAAAGCATTTTTTCAGAAATTCAAATACTTTAATGGTACCATGTGTAAAGTGTCCAATTGCCTTTGATGTTCTGGCACTTTATGCATTGACAGACTTCATGGGTGAACTAAGATTTAAAGTAACCTGCATTGTGGGCTGGATTCAATACAATTCTGACAAGAGTTGTGGAGCTTTGTGGCTTTGGTGCAGCTGGGGGCAGTGGGGAGAGGAGCTGCTGTGTGGGGAAAGGCCCTTGGGAGGATTGCTGGGGAAGGAGCAGCTCGTGGCACTCCTGACAAAGTTTCCCCCTCTGATGGAGGCTCAGTGGTCAAGCTCCAGCTCTGCAAACTTTCAATGGAATTTTACTTATTCTGAAACCAGAGTGAGGCTGTCTTGCTGAGCTGGAGCCCTTTTGCTCTCATTGCTTTGTCCTGGATACCTTCCAAGAGCAGGGGTCCCTATCAGTGTAGTTTTAAGCTGTTCCATGAATGTGGCTGTGTGATGGGAGCTTGGGTACTGCTTCCTTCTGGAGAGGCAACTTTCCAGAGAGGCTCTGACTGAACTGTCATGCTGTAATTCAAATGTTAATGTTGGTCTTTGAATTTGACACATTTAAAAATCACTGGGTTTTTTTTTAATGGATATTCCTTGGCCTAGCTTAAATGATAAAGTCAATTCAAAAGAGGAGATTGCAACTGTAGTGAGAAGGCACCTGCTGGTTAAAATATTTTCCTGCCACTTTTATTTACAAACAGTATCAAGATTCTATAGTTCTTCCATTCAATCTGACTGAAGTTGTACTTATGTTTGCACATGCGCTGTTTCTGATGACTTAATAAACAGTAGTGGTGACACACAGTATTTCAATGGAAACTGATGGAAATTTGTATGTCGCTGATCTAATGGACTCCTGGTTTTTTCTGTTGATTTAATTACTTTTTTTTGTCTTATACTTGCTTTTTTTTTCTTGTTTTCTAGTGTCAATTTACAGTATTTGGTTTTATGACAAGAATGACTGTCATCGAATAGCAAAGCTCATGGCTAAGTAAGTACTGGGGCCTTCTAGAGATTGTTCAATGTGTCTGCTTTTTTCCTCACTCTCCTAAAAATGGAGGAATTCTTGCTCATACAAGTTTTTGTTAACTAATGAAAATGACAGATTTGTTTTTTAAAAAACCTGCAGCATTAATATTTTCAATTGAGTGATTAAAAAATGAGTTGAAGAGTTAGTTGGCATTCTCCAAAGAAAGCAACTATGTGCACTGTGTGCTATTCTATATTCTGTTTTGTATAGGGGTGCTGGTAAAAGATTTTCTGATGCAGAGAGTGTAATGAAATAACTGATGGTTGGGGGTTTTTGCTTGTTTTGTGGAGAGCTGTTTTTTTCTTGGAGTTTGTGGTTTGTTTGGGTTTTATAAGACTTAGCTGTTATTCTTGACTAAAGTGAAGAGACAAAAAACTAGCAGGAGAACTAGGTAGAATTTTCTAGAATTGTAGTGGGTTTAGGAGTGCAAGGAAAACTGTGAAATAATAAGAGCTTGGTGTTGCTAATTTCTGGATTTGGGATAGTTACTCTTGCTAAAATGCAGATTGTAGGTGTACTACCCAGGGTATCTTCTCATCCCTCATTCTCAGCTTTGCTCCTCTTTGCTATCACACTGCTTTCCTGAAGCCTCTTATCTCTTGCATGCCTTCAGCAGCATGTCAGGGCTTGCCAGTCAGGCTGTCCTGAAGACTTGCACAATTTAATTACATGGAAATATATAATATTTAATTATATGAAAACTAGTCACAGTGTAGATATTTTAAGCTGAATTCTAATTTCTTAGTGTAGGGGGTTTGGTGTGGGTTATTTTGGCTTTTTTTAAAAATTATTATTATTTTCACACAGAAGCAGTGAAAGAAAACACAAATGACAGACATTGGTATCAAGATATCTTTCTAAGTTCTTTTTCTTTTTTTTTAATCCTTATAACCCCATTTCCCACTTTGATTTTTTTCTTCCTAGTTATGTTGGACTTCTTATTGTTAGTTGGTTTGTCTGTATCTAAGGATTAGTGGGAAACAATTGTGTGAAACTGACTCTTGGATGTTGTTACCAAAACAAATAACAAAACATCTACTGCCTCTCCTCTTTATAAACAGAGCATCAGAAGGACATGGCTTTCTCGTCTAATCTAAACCCATTAGTTAATGTTTGAATTGTGAGAGAGAGCTGGACCTGTCAAACTCTACCATATTCACAGCTGCAGTGCAGATCTAACTTCAGATAGCAAAACTTGAGGCCATTTGAGCTGCTCTGGTCACTGTAGCATGAGTGATGGGATACAAATGATAATTCAGGAGTCTTAAAAAGTGGGATCAGGTAACAGACCAGTCTGGCCATGGCACAGCAGTCCATAAAGCACATTTACCCCTTTGGCTGGATTGCAATATTTACATTTTCTTCCAAGAGTATTAATTTTGTTCTGTAGTTTTTTGTCTTTGGGGTGGAAATTTGGATTTGCACCCTATTCTTAAGGTGGAGTTTTTCTTAATCACTGATAGGAAAGAGTGCTGCCTTTATAATACTTCAGCAGTTCCAAAACATAACCATAAAAGGTTTCAAGGAGATTTGCATTCTCTTGCCTGCATTTAACTTGACCTTATTGTGCCAGCCTGAGTTAACAAGATTGCAGGCCATCCATTTGTATTTTGGTGGCTTATCTTTGAAAAGAAAAGTAAATTAGGCTTTGTAATCACAGACTTCACTTCTCACATTCTCTCCCTCCCCCTGCCCTTCTGTGAGGTTGTGCCAGGTATTTTCAATGCTGCAACTCCAGATATTCTTCAGCAAACTGTCACAGCAGCTACTGTGTCCCTGAAGGAATGTGTGCCTCTTCCACTATCTGATATAATGGAAAGAAACAGCAGGCCTTGCTTAAAAAAGATTTAATCCTGGATTGCACACGGAGCATGTTCAGCATACAGATTTGCAGCAGTTGACTTTTTTCCCTCCAGGAAGGGTATTTAGGTATTTGATTTACAGATTTTTTTTTTTAAGAATTCCAGAATCTTCTGAAATGAAAATATTTCATGGGAGTCAAACTCCTGATTTGAGAAGAAATTAATTTGTGTCAAGTTAAGATGATTGATTGAGGGATGCCTTTCTAGAAGGAGTAGGGCAGAAACTGCAGGGCTTCAGATATTTGAGAAAACTATTGCATTCTGACCTGTAAGTTTGTATGGGGGGTTATTTTCAATTTAGTTTACAAGCTTGTTTTACCTTGTTTCAATAGTCAGACCCAAATTGGCTTCTGAGATAGAGGAGGCAGACTAGAATTGGGAAAGAATCTCAGAGTTCTGGGGACACAGTTTCACATTATATTCCATCACCACCATTGAAATGTGGTGCACAAGACAGAAGATGGAGTTTAAGCTATTGGACAATTACCTAGATGAGAAGAGAATTTGTTATTCTTCAAAAAGGAAGTAAACTTTGAACTTTAAAAAGGTAACAAACACTTCATAATGAACAAGAGAAAAATATTATGAACTGTTTTTCAGAAATTTTTATGAAACATTTTTGGGAAATGCCTGCACTCCTTGAAGGTGTTTTGCTGTGAGTTCAATGAGTACTGGTTTCAGGGGAGGGTGTTTTACTGAAACCTTCTGGGCCAACTAATTAAGGCAAAAGGAAAGTCTCAAGAGTGAAGCCTTTGCTGTGCCTGCCAGGCACCTTGTGTGATTTCACTTTGCCCAGAATCTTCCCTTTAACTGAAGTGTTTCTTTTTTCTTATACAATTATGCTGGCACTTAACATCTCAGCAAAGCATTCTGATTCTCTTACCTTGCTCTTTCTCATCATTAGTTTTGGAGTTGAGTTTAGAGAGGTCCTAAGCCAGGACTGAGTGACCACGTGAGGTGCTAGAACAAAATGTTCTCTCAGGGAGTCACCATAGAAACACTTGTGGAGTATTGAGCTGCCTCATCCAAACGAGCACATGCTGCAGTTCTCAGAAATGATCAGGGTTACATTGGCCTCCCTATTGTGAGTTACCTTGCCAGGTGACTGCTGCTTACAGAGAAGGCTGGAAGTAATCAGGAGCTGGTTAAATAACCAGCTTGTATGATGAAAAATTGTGAAAGCAACATTGAATTGTTAAAAGCCAAATCTAACCCTTTTTCAGCTAAACTCTAGTGAAGTAAAGAAGCTTGGTAGCTAGAAAACTGGGAAGAAACTTTCAAAACTCAAACTGTTTCTTCCTCAGAAATGTAAACGTAGAGGTACATATAAATAATTACAGCCTATAAAATCTAGATTTTGTCCTGAATCCTAACTGACCCAAAGAAACTGGAGGCTGGGGTGATTGACACTTTCTGTGATTGTTGTGATGGCACCTCTTGGCTCCCCCCTCAGCCATCAGTTCCACAGCATGAGAGTTCCCAAGTGACATGCCAGCTCCAGAGCTCTGCCCTGTTTACAGTGCTTGTTTTTTCTTAACATATTTGATTAATGCAGGCTTAAAAAAGAAGGGATTACAGGCTGGCGTGTGTTTATTTCAAGAGGATAAGCTCCAGCGCACTGCACAGCCATGTATATCTTGTGAACTGCATATGGATTAGGAGTATATGCTGCTTTTATTTTTATTAATGAAATGAGCAGGTGCACCTCACCTTCTTGCATCTCTTACCCATCCTTCAGATGGAAGGTTCTGGATACTTGAGGCAGGCAGGGGTGGAGTAGAAGTGGTGAATGAACCATGGGCACCAGGGGCCAGAGGTAATGCAGGTAATTGGAATGACTGCAGGGCAGCTTGAAGAGGAAATGGTTTGCTGTTCTTTCCAGAGCCTTAGATGGGGGGTGTGAGGGGTGACTTGCTCTAAGTCTTCTTGCAGACTGATTCCAGAGACATCTGGTGTGAGCCAGCTCTCTTCTTTCCCATTGTCTCTGTTGCATAATGGTAGGCCTCATCCTAAATTAGAACTATTTGGTAATAGATTTTGTTGAATGACATGGCTTGACTTGACTAAATATGGAGAAATGCATGTTAGGAAGTAAAGAGTAAAAATTATATCTTAGTGTATGGTGTAAAACATGTGCTTTTTGTGTATCACATGCTTGGATGTCCACATATTTCATTGTAAAAATGTCTAAACATGAGAGTTTTATAGGAATAGTGTTTGCTGTAGGCAAACTGTGAGAGAGACAGACCAGTGCTCTGTGAATGGGAGATAAATCGTGCAGACCATTTGGCAATTTGTCTTGTTTGAACCTTGTAGCAAATGAAAACTTGTGTAACTTTGGTCAGCTATGTGTTAGGCTTTTATTCAGGCAGAAAAATGGGTTAATGTACTGGGAGTACTTTTTTCTTTACTGCTTTTTGCAAGATGTTAACTCTAGTTAAATTTTTAAATCCTGTTTCTCCTTTCCTTTTCCAGAGTGGTTGAACAAGAAGCTCAGAGGTCGCAGCAAGTTTCTCAGGACAGAAAAAGTCCCAGCAGAACCAATGGCTGCAATGAAAACAGGCCCATTGACATCCTAGAGATGCTTAGTAAAGCCAAGGATGAGTATGAACGAGTAAGTGAATGTCTCTTTTCTGGAAACCAGTTTTTAGCACATCAGCTGTGCTTTGTTTCAAGGGTGGGCAGTGTGCAATAGTTCCAGCAGCCTTGTTTTCAGAGTGCTGTGTTGCTCCCTCCCTCAGGAGCACTGTACTAGGAAACATTCTGTGATTTCAGGCAAGATGGATTGAATCCCCATCATGTGGTCCAACTTGAAGTGTAGCACGGTGGACCCATTTTATAGTGATTTCTCCTGCTGTGAGGAAATCTTGTCTCTGGGAATAGCAAATAAAAATTGTACCAAACAGCATCTGTCTTTTAGTCTCAAAAGATGAACTGTGGTGTTAGAGACTGAGGCATTCAGTTTGTTTGTAGACTTTATGAAGCATATTTCTTATTAGCTGTAGACTAAGTGTAACAATACTGTTCCTTTGTCTTTTTGTTCTCCAGTTTATTTCTTGTGTCCTGTCTACTGTTTCTCCCTTTAATAAAATAATTCATCTCAGAAGGAAAAGCCTGTTATCCTTTGCCAGTGCTAAATCCACAAGATTACATAATGAGGAATGTTACTTCTCTTAAGAAAGAATTACTTTATATAGTCATGAGGACCAAATTCATACATGCAGGGTGAATATAAAGGTAATGTGTGGGAGATCCAAAAATGGAAGCAGAGATTCTGAACACGCCTCTTCCCAGAGTAATAATACAGGAATGTGCCATAGTAAAGCAATGTGTGAGTATTGCATTGCAGAGCCATGGTGTGGCTTCTGTGCCTGTGCTGCTGGGAGAAGAGGGAGCATATTTGTACAGTGCTTGATTCCTTCCAGGAGTTGCTTGTGCTGCAGAGTTCCTTTGAGTACTTGAAATTGAGTCTTTGTGAGATTCTGAATGGTTACAATACAGTGTGGGATGAGAAGAGAGCAAGCCTGTGGATTAAACCTTGTGTGAGCCATCTTAGCCTGGCACTGTGTGAGGTACATTGAGGTCAGGGCAATGTGATAAACAACACAGTATCTTTGCCCCAGGCTAGATACTCATCTCTGGAAATCACTTCTATGTTCTTTTAATGCTTTAAGATACAGATGAAAACAAAATTAATTGCCAGTGTGTGTCAGTGCTGTTTGGGGAGAAGGTGTCTCTGGATGAAGGCCAGCATTGTGCAGGTAGCAGCTTTTGTGAGATCACAGAAGGAAACATCACATTATGGTTCATCTTTCAGTGCTGTATCAATCTAGACAGATTTGAAGAAATTGAGGTCTTTTTGAAAAGGGGAAAAGCCCATACCACAGGAATGCACTGCTTTGGTAGTGCCCTCCTGGGTGTGGTGAAGCTTTTCTCCCTCTCTGCCCATGCAGTATTGGATAATGCACATTTCCAACAGATGGCTCTTGGGTGACTTGGGATATTCCAGCTTCTCTTCTAATTTTCAGATCTTTTTCATATGAGAATACTGAAAAGCTTTTGCTGTAAACAAAGTTTCTGAACATCATGGATGAAACTCTGTAGACAAGTAAAATTCTGATGAGCAGGAACAGATGCAGATATTTTAATGGACAGACAATATCTGTGGTGCCAATAATACAGCAGTGAAATAGGCAGGGCATGGGCTACAGCAGAGCTACTTTAAAACTGGGGGCTTTCTTTATTTCTTCTTATTGTTATATATGTGTGTGTTTCTTTCTTGATATTTTTAGAACACCAGGGAAACTGGAATAATTACTTCATTTCCTTTTTGTGTACATGAACCATAAATGAACCTGTCCACGGTGATCCCATCAGAGCCTGCTGTGACTGTAGTGCTGTACAGTTGTCAGAAAAGCAGAACTGAACAATGTTGGTCACATTTCAAGCAAACTTCTTTGGAGAATGTTCTGTTGACCACCTCAGCTTTAGCAACAAACCCCTGGCACGTTCATTTTGGAGCTCTTGGAGCCAAAGTGTGCCAGTGTAAATGTGATGAAGTAACCAGCTTGTTTGGAAGGCACCTTCTTGAGAGACCATTCCTGACTTAATTTTTTTTAAACAATTTTATGGCACTTGGTAATTATGCATGAATTTGTATTTAGGAGCAGAAAGTACTTATCTGCTGGTACATTCCAGATGGATCATACAGTAATCCTTGTGTGCAGCCCACATGAGATTGGCAGAGTGTCAGCATGAGAAGGGGGCAGAGGGAGTGAAAAAGAGATTTATGAAGGTCTGAGTGCTTTAATCTAGGATTCCAAATCAGCTTAATCCTTCAAGTACACACTACATCAAGCCCATATGTGAAAATGAATGAACTCTGAGATTTTTTTTTTAATGAAGTGAATGGATGCTTTTTATAGTGTGGTTTTGTGTTTGTATTTCAGTTTGAGCAGGGAAACATACTGCAGCTTATCCTCTAGTGAAAACAAGACTCTGCCTTTCCTGATTTTATAACTAAAAGGCCTCCAGGCTTTCAGGCACAAGAAGTTTTGACCTTCAAGTTAGTGGCTAAAAGTCAGAAAGATGCAAAGTCTGCTTCTCTCCTCTGTCCTTAAATCACAATATATAGGCTTGGTTTTGTATTTATTGCTTTCAGTTAGAATTTGAAAACAAAAGAATAAAGCTCAGATTGCTTTTTAATCCATTGCTAGAAAGTTTAACCCATATTTTACTGCTCTGGGTAAGATACCAGAGCAATCACCATGTGTTGTACCAATGGTTGAACTCTATCAGATGCATCAGGTGTAGTTTACCCATGAAAGCTGGATTTTTCTACAGTCTGGGTTTTTCTGGTGATTTTAACAGTAATGTAATATCTGTGTTTATGCTTATTAAAGATGAAAGTCAAATCCATCTGAAACATACTGTGTCATAATGCAACTCCCTTGCCTGGTTTTGTCTTGTTCACAGAAAACCAAATTAACACCTGAAAATAAATGTACCAGGTTGGTTAAATCTGGTGGAAGTAAATCAGTGACAAGCTCTTTTCATCCACTTAGAGTGCTTTCTGGCAGGATTTTTTTTTTCCTAAGCAGTTCTGGTTTGGGTTCTTGATTGAATGAAGTGTAGCAAACTTCTGTTAGCAGCCAATGCAGATACAGGTTGTGAAAAGCCCACCTTTTCTTTAATGTATCATTTTTGTTCTTGGTGAAAAAGTATAAAATCAGTTGTATTTTCTTGTTGCTTTCCTTATAAAGAGTAAAAGTTTTATGACTGCATACCAGATTCTGGATGGCTTGGTATGATTTTTATTTCCTAGAATAAATAATAATATTTGTGAATTCCACGGTGTCTTACAAAAACCAGTGCTTTGTACCTCATCTGTATTTCAGTCCCAAGTGCCATGTAAACAGGACTGCAGAGTGGGTAAATGTAGACTGAAACTCATGTATTTATATTAATTTTTTTCCATTTTTTTTCCTCCTCAGAATCAGATTAGTGACCTAAGTATTATATCAAGTTCTGGAATGCAACAGAATTCAAATCCTCCAAAGCCAGAAAGTACAGAGCCTTCAGAACAGAAGCCTTCATTACAAATGCAAGAGCAGGTACGTTTCATACAACCCTAAATGAGGGTTTTTTTTCATTTAATACTTTGTTTTGATACCAAAATTGATTTTTTACTTAAGACGCCTTCAGTGTTTGCCCAGTGTATTATCGCTAAACAGATGAGTTTGAAGACTCTTAGGATCCTAAATTCTGTCTTATGAGAAATGCTATGTCCCCACTAGTGTGAATATTCAGGTTTAAATGGGCCCACGTGGTTTCTGGAAGAAGTGAGTCTGTGGTGATGTGTGTGGGATGACTTGCAGAGACAGGAGGCAAGAGCAGATGACCATGCCTGGTTGGTCAGGTCTTTCCCTCAGGAACTCAAGCCCTGGTGTTCTGTCTCAGGCATTTACTGAAGGTTTGTCTGTGCTTCAGAGCCATGTACAAGGAAGCTGGGGCTTGATACAAGACTTTCTAGAGATAAATTCAGAGAAACAAGTGAGTGAACTGTGCAGTACCTGGATTGCCTGTGACAGGGAAGTGCCGTGGGCCTGCTTGCAGTGCCACCCAGTGGGCACGGGACAGGCACTGCTGCTGCTCCTGGAAGTGCCCCATGGAAAACTCCTCTCCCTGCCATGCTTCTCTGGGGTGCTTCTGATGCAATAAATCACCGTGCCTGAGAAGTGACATCCCCTAGGAAAACGTGGGAAAATCTGCACTTAGTACTTGTAAATAATACACACAGTTTGGAGGGGTAGTTGTAGTTCCTAGTTTGGGTCAGAGCTGGGGCAGCAGGAATATGATTTAGGGTAGGGTAGTAACAGTTAATGAACTAAAATGAGGGGTGGGAGTTTGCTGGGATTATTTCTATCCCAGCCCTTCCAGCCCCTGAGCAGCACCTCTGGTTTGGACCCCTGGCAGCCAGCTCTGTTTGCTGCATGCCATGTCTGGAGAGCTGGCACCAGGGCTGCCTGAGGCTTTGCTTCAAAGCTCATATTTTCTTTGGGTCATTCCATGTAGACTGTCCAAAATCAGCTGAAATGCTCCACCTGACAGTGCATGGAATTGCAGAACAGGAAGCAATTAACTAGCAAAGGAAAAACTGGAAATATAAGATTCTAACAAATTTCTCTGAAGTAATTAAAGGGAAAGTTGATTTATAGAACATGTAAAATGTCATATTTTTAATTCTGTTGAGCTATTTAAAATAATAGCTGCTGAGATATTGGAAAAATTAATTGGGTGCCATAAGTGATAGTTCTATAAAGCCAGTTAGCTGGGTTCAAATATATCTCAGATGTGTTGGTTCTGAGTCACATTTTGAGTAACATGGACAACTGAGAGACTACTGGAAAAACATTCCATTTCAACTATAAAAATATACATTTTTCATCTAATTAAAGCAGATGGCCAGTGAAATCAAAAAATAGTGTGCATATGATAAGTACAGTGAGATTGCTAAATTCCCTCCAAAATGTCACACTTGCATGTTGATTAACTTCATCTCATGCTAAAGATACCACACATTTGGGAATAAAAATAAATGTCTCCTTTATGATGTTGTGTAGTTAAGTGTTGTATCTTGGCAATTCAAAATTAAATTTAGTTGTATCATGAAATGCTTCTGTGCCAGCAGACTGCAAAACTGAACCAGACCACTGGTACTGAACCATGAATAAGCAGAGCTGGGACTATAAAGCTTAATTTATCTGAAATCATTTCTGGAGAAACCCTCTGAGCAGCAGCAGCTCTCTATTCCTATGAAATAAAGTGATCTTGTGGCCTTTATGCAGCCCCTTGTGGTAAAGGTCTTCATAAACACACTGAGTTGATGAAATGCTCAAAGTACACCTCAGGCAGACAGGGTAAAAGAGATGTTTTATACTCCATGCTGGAAAGTAACTTGATGTTTGAGACTGTCCAGTCTGACTTGGATCAGGGCATGGTAGAGATTTCAGTTTATTGCTTGACTATTGCAATGTATTAATAAAGGAAGGCTGGTCAGTTAATCATACTGAAGTGAACAGCTGAGTTTGAAATGATCTGGAACAGTGATTTTTCTCTTAATGGAATCTTTATGCTTGAAGGACAGGTCTCCAGATCAGTAGGATCAGTGGAAAAAAGTAAGAACAACTTTCTAGGAAAAGATTGCTAACATAATTAACAAAGTTTATAAACTATAGCATGTCTCAGCTCCAAAATGACAGGGTGCCAGGCTTTTAACTAGCTAAAATTGAATAACAATGACAGTGGAGATGAGTAACCTGGGAAAAAGACAGTGTGACTTCAAGCTCAAGGGGCTCTTGTTGGGCTGTTTGTGGCACCTCTGCTGCTGTGCTGTCCTGTTCTCTGTGCTGGGGAAATCAGAGCCAGCAGAGCAATGTCATGGTGCAGTGGTTGTCATTGTGAAGTAGCATCTTTGTTTAGACATACCATCAGAATACACTGGAATTGTGCTTCAGGCCATTCAGTCTTCTGAACAGAATGTTGTATTTCAGTCCAGCTGTTTTACATAACTTCTGGTCCTGTGCAACCTCAAAAAAAAAAAAAGGAAAATTTTGAGATCACTGGTGTTAATAGCTGTTTCTTTTCTCTTTAATGAAACACATTTTGAAATATTTTCAGCAAAACATGATATTGTTAAAACCATATTTTTCTAACAGTGTCAGTGGTGTAGGCCAGATGTATTTTTTTGGGGGAAAGACTAATGACTGTTAGATGTAACTGTGTACATTTAACATACTTTTCAAGGAGATACATATTTAGGTTTATAGAAATTGTCTTACCTATTTTAACATCTACTGCACTAGGGCTAGGAAAACTGTCTGACATGTATTGCTAGTTCAGTTTTGCAGCTTCTGGTTTTTATGTTCCTTTCCCATCTTTTCGACCATTTCACTATTTCCAATTCTGTAAGTTCTGTGAGGATTTTTTCAACATGCATGATTTTCCCTCCACTTCCCTAAAGTGCCCTGTGTAGTTAGGGCTGATGGATGATGGCAGGTGCCATGTTCCTGACAGAATCCATTGCCATCCCCCTTCCTGACTACTGCTGCAGAGACTGTCCTGAGATGGCCCTAAGGAAAAGCCATACATAGCCAGGATGTTCCTCATAAATTAAATTAATTTTAAAATTCCTATGAATGGGGCACTCTTGATATCCAAACTGTGTTTTATATGCATTTGACCTAGTTGTCTCTCCTAACTTCCTTGAATTTGTAATAGACTGTGTGAGCTGCACGGTGTTGTGTCTAGTTCTAAACTGAAATCTTCTTCTCCCTTCTTTTTAGCCATTTCAGTCAAGGCAGAAGCATCTGACTTTGGAGGAACTGTTTGGAACCTCTGTCCAGAAGGAGCAGCCTGCAGCTCCATATCCCAATCCAGAGAGAATGGAGAAGCTGCAGACAGATGCATCTGCCAGAGAGCAGCACAGTTTGCTTTTGCCTTTTTCCTTTGACCAGTCACCAGTAATGCAACAATCCCTGGGGAAATGTGAAAGTCCAAGCATTAAAGCCAGTGCCAGCCAGCAGGACTGTTTGACACCTATGATAATACCTCCAGCTTCAGTTTCCCAGCCTGAGCTGAAAAACGTTCCAAGCTATTCAGTTCGTTTAAGCCCTGTTCTTAATTCAGTCTCAACAATGGAAGCTGCCCCTGCTCAGATGCTTCCTGGCCTCAAACAAAGCAACAGCATAATGCAAGTTATGCAGCAAGCTGCCAAGCCCATATCCCCACTGGTGAATCAGCCGCCATCTGACGTGAACCACACTCCACAGAATCTCATGGCTGGCCAAAGCCAGCTCGTAGCACCCTTGACTACAGCAAACACAGGCACTGTCTCCAATGCATCTCACACAAGTGTTGATCTTCTCCAGAAACTCAGGTTGACCCCCCAGCATGACCAAACACAGCAGCAGTCTCTCGCTAAGAGTCCCTTGACACCAAACATCTCTGCCTCAGTTGGCCAACTTGCAACACCAGAAAGCTTCAAAGAATCTCACAGTAAGCCATCAGCCTTGAACAGCAAGATAATCTCTCCCCTTCAGGTATTCTGTGGGCTTTGATATCCATGAAGCTTTAGACTACATGTATTTTTCCCTTGAAAACTGTGCTGTTATATAATAGCTGTTTGAAGATAATGAAGGATTTCCACTGTGTGGTATTGATTGAATGGCTAAGTTAGAAATGCAGTTCCATTGGTTTTGTATCATTAGCATCTGCTCTCTAGTGGAGGAGGTTTTTCAAACTGCTGCTGGTAGTGGGTGAATAAGTCCTAAAGATTTCACCTTGTGTCAGAAAAGTACTGCTCAGAGCTGGGGATCTGAGAAGGGATGGAAGGTTGCAGGCTGAGCACTGTAATGGGAGATGATGTGTGGAAGTCTACAATACAATTAAGAATTTCATTTTTCTGATTATTTTGCTTTGAGTGTTTTGTACTCCTTCAGTTTTGACCCACTTCTTCTGTGGGCTACATTGAGATATGGCTTTATAGGTTTGTCATAATACTGAAAGCATAAAACATAAGTTCAGATTTTTTCTCTTTTTTCAGCTTCCCATTGATTATATCATTTTTACAAAATTGATTGAATTATATCTAAAATCTTGAAATTTGCATTTTTGTGCTTCCTTAAAAACAGAGAATGACCTCTAGAAATTGAGCTGTGGATGGTAACCTGTAAATTTTGCTTTTTTTTCCTAACTCAGACTGTACAGCAAAACAAGGAATCAGAAGTATTTCCACAGCCGAAAACTTTGTCTAAAGCCAGTCAAGTAAGTGGATAAGTACCTGTGCTAATCAGTCCCAGGGGTTTTCTTAGGGGGAAAAAACCCAGCTGATATCTCAAATAGTCACTGCCCACTGCCCATATTGAAGGAGCTGTTATGAAACAGCACTGGAGGAAGGGGGAGTTGCTGTCAGTGCACTACTCTTGCACAGTCACTCTTACTGTTGGTTCTAATGCAGAAATGAAAACACATTTTTGGAGTTGCAGCCCTGCACTGAGCTTGCACCATTTGAACTGGGTTTTTTTATGTTGCAAGCAGGGAGTACTTAATGCCATAATATTGTAGGAGGGTATTTTAGCCTTGGCCCAACCTTAAGCACCCCAGAGGCTTAAAATGCTATCCTGGCCTTTGTGTGTCTCAGTTTTCTTGAGATACCTTGTATCTTATAAACTGATACAAAGCAGAAAAAGTTGAAGATGGAGAAAAAAAAATAACCAGTAATTGCTATTGCAAAACTTGTGATAGCAAATTTTAGCCAGCTAAAAGCAGGTTTAAGCTTCTTAGAAGAACTGCCTTGAATAACACTTTAAAATAGTGTCAAGTTTAAGTTTCAGGTTATAGTTACAAAATAACTTGATAATAGTCAAGTGTTCAAGAACTGGTTTTAATTACCTTTTTGTTATGTATTCATTTTAGGACACCATCTGTATTTTATTTCTGCTTTTCCCTTATGCACCCACTCCTTTTTCAGATATCTTGCCTCATTCTTGTCAAACTTGCTCTCCATGAAAGCAGTTTTAGTAGCATGCCCAGATCTGATTGTGAAGGCAAAAAAATGGTCCTACTTGAAGTAAAAGGCTGTTTTACCCACTAGGATGCTATAAAATAAGCTCTACAGTCTGATCATGACCCAGTTAGTAAATAATTACCTAATCCAAAGCATTTTATATGGATTTGGGAATTTTAAGAAACATGTGCATGTTGTATAGCCAACTGTCAGTTTAAGCACATTGTCTTCAGCTGAAATCCCACGCTGTGAGTCTTCACAGTTTTGACTACAAGAAAATCAAATTTCTAGTTCTGCTGTTGTTGATGTTATTTTATACACATTAACTTTAGATGGCTTTGGAGGGCTTTTTCCTCTGAAGATTGTTGGTTATCCAAGGTGAGCTCTTTCTGCTGACATGTCAAACGTCTTTATCAATCACATTTAGTGTTGCTTTTCTTTGGAGTGAGATTGGCTTATTTATTTTCTTTTTTTTTCACCACGTTGATCATCCTGGAAGCCTGAGCAAGACACAGATTATCAGCCTGAGTAACAATTGCAGTTATCAGGAGATGTCAGAGTTGCTCAGAGAGGACATTTATTTGTGTCCAGTTGATGCAAACGTAATAGTCCTCTAAATGTGCAATTTATGTTTAAAAGAAAAAGTGGTGTAGGCAGTGTGGGCATTTGTGTAGTGAAATGGAGACAGACCTGTGGAACGATGAGGTGCAAAGATGGTCTTTAAAATATTTCCATCCTACATCCCCCCAAGGGAAAACAGAATGAGAATAGTTCTGTGTACTCCAATGGTTTAACTATAATTCAGCAGTTTCTTTAAATATGTTTGAGATGCACTTCAAATTTGAAGTAAAGTATCTGTGGGAGACCATAGAAGTGGGGGTGCAGGAAGCAGGATTGATCTTTCTGAAAACTCCAGAGGAAAAGAATTTGCTAAACAGTTACAGGCTCCTTAGATTACTGAGGTGAAAAGCTCAACTTTTGTTGTATCTGTTCAGTTCTAAAAATTCTGGAAGGTAGCAACCACATGAGTAGAAAGGAGTCTGCATACAAGAATGTTCAAGGCTGCTACCTTCTTCAGCTTTGAAAATGAGAAGTACTATTGGTACTAATATTAATCTTCATAGGTAGATATTTCTTGATTAAGAGCAGCTGTTCTGCAATATCTGATTGAGTACATTTGTCTGCAATTTATTTCATTTTCTTTATGCTTATCTCTCCAGCCTTTACAGCATCATTCATTCTTACTGAACACAGTATTATTAATCTTCTGTTCTTTTACAGGTTGCACCTGCACAGTTTGTTACAGCCACGACGACAGTAACACCTTCAGTGCTCTTGTCTCCAAGTGTGTTTCAGCAATCAGCTACAAAAGCTACTGAAGTGGAGAATAAAGCCAGTTCTTCTTCTCCTTTAACACTTGGAACAACAGAAATTCAGACTACACCTCCTACTGTTCTCAGTAGGTCTCAGCTTCAAGAAGCGCTGATACATCTAATAAAGGTAGTGTCTATACAGAGCTCAGAGTTTCTGAGGGATGGGGTTCCAAGCACAGAAGGCAGCACTGACAGATTCTGTACCCCTGTAACTCCTTTTGCCCTGAAAGATTACAAAAGATGTTCTTTTCTTTTGGAAGGGGCAGATTACTCCACACTGTACACAGAGTTTGGCACAGCTTGCTCCTTTTGGTCAATGTGTCCTTTCACATCCATATGAATTTGTAGAGAAGTGAGGAGTAACTTGCAGCAGTAGAAGCTGGTATGGGGTGGGAGTTGATTTTGCTGTCTTTTTAAGTGTTCCACTTCCTCAAGGAAAGATTTCCTGTTTTCAGTTCCCTAGAACCTTTCCTTATCTTTACTTTTAGTGTGTTTCTTTGAAATGGAAATTGCAAAGTTTTAGCTCTACTATTTTTAGGGACTAAAAAGTTCTGTTGAATTAAATCTGTGATGTTGGGAGCAGCTGTGCATTGAGATGATTTTGACCTCTAATGTCATGATGAAGTTGCCATGAATAACAAACTGTTCTTTCTTAGCTCAGGATTCTCTTGCTCACTCCATGCTGGTGTTAGTAGAGCTTATACCCAAAATGCAAAAATAACAAAAATAACAAACAGCATCTTCCCAGTGACCACGTTGTTAGGAGCAAAAAGGTCATTACCAGATCCCATCATTAGGTTGCCTGATTTACCTGTTCCATTTTACATAACCTTTTCTTCTGCTGGTGTGGATGGGTTTTCTAATTAAGGACTTAAACTAATCTTGGAACTGAGCTCACCTGCTAATATTCTGAGTGGTGATTTTAGAGAGCTGACAGGGATATTTGTCTCCATTCTTTACTGAGATGGAAGAAGACTGAATGAAGACCAAAACTGATGATATACCAGTTTTGTAACTTGTCATTTGAGGGAATTAGACTCGAGAAATATCTGTAAATATTGTCCACAGATGAAACCAATTCACTTCCCAGTCATGCTTTGACTTGGGAATTCTTGTAGAGCACGCTGCAGTCCCATTCAGGCTGCTCTGCCCTGCAAACAGCATCACACCTGACACTCAGGCAGGCTTGATGTGGGAGCCTGTACCCAGAATGGGATTCTCTGTGCCTGAGTGTGTGGTTTGGGCTCTGGAGGGAAGCACAATGTGGCCAGGCTGACACAGTGACCCTGTCTGTTTGTCTGGGCATCCAGAGTGCCTGGTGATGCCTTCAGCTGCTGCCCAGCTTCGTGGTTCACAGCCTGTGTGTGTTCCAAAAGCACCTTCTGTGCAGGCACACAGCTCCTTCAAACCTTATCACAACTAAAGTGACATCCAATTAAACTTTTTTTGGCATTTTTTCTCTAATGTTTTGAATGTGTTTCTATTTTTCCTGCAGAATGATTCCCGTTTTCTCAGCACTATCCATGAAGTCTACTTGCAAGTCCTCACCAAGAGTACAGACAACATTAAGCTATAATTGAAGCTGAATCTACTTAAAATATGTTCATTTTAGAAACAATTATGCCTCATGTATAAAACTAATATTTTTGTAAAAGAATATTTAGTTTTCAATGTCTTGAATTCGAACCTGTTAGGAACTATTATTCCTTAAATACTTATGAAAGTAATGTTCTCAGAATGATCTAGGTTTTCACTGTGATCGTCACCAGCAAACCTTTTTTTTATTGGGGAGGGGACTTAAGTTGCATTTGAGCTCTCATTAGCATTAAGTGAATGTGCAAATGTTTGCTCTGGCTCTCATTCCTGGCTGTATTCATTGTTCAAGGATTACAGACTCAAAACTATTTCAACCAGCAAATGCACAGTATAATACACTACAGCACACCAGAACCAAATTCAGTTGTGGGAACCTCGTTCCAGTTTGAAGGACTGAGGAAAATGAGAGCAAAATGCCTTGTGATGAAGCTGGAAGGTGTGGGGAGGGAAAGGGTCTGGAAGCCAGGCCATTGGAGCTAAATCTTTAACAAAAGGTCTAAAAATGTGATTGGCTCAATACATTGGCAGTCTCTAGCTAATGCATGTAAATTCATCCTTTCAATATTTCATCAATTCTGTTTGTTTCTGTGTTACTGACATAAAACACCCATTTTCTCTAAAGAGGCAAAATTTGAAATATGCAAAATCCTCAGTGATTGTACTTTTTTTTAAACAACAAAGGAGTTGCATGTTGAAGTTCTCATTTTAAATTTATAGTTAGGAGACCACCACTGGAAGACTCTCTTCCTGTTCATGAGTGTTTGATAAAATTTAAACATTCTGTTTCCTTTTAGCTTAAGGATGGACCACACCATAGTTGGCTTTCACTCCTCAGTTGTGTTGGAACTGCAGTGTTAAAAACTATGCAGATGGGAAACAAATGCATGCTTTTCTTCTGTTGCCCTCTCCCCAAATAATTAGTGTAAACTTCATAGTCTGAAGTTAATCTAATTAAAATGTTACTGCTTTGTATATGTGATTCAGTAAGTCACTATTCACTAAGAATTGAACTGGGTACTTTTCCCAAATCAGAAAAAATTTAATTATACCTTCTTATGCTGCTGTGTTGGTTTACCCATGGGTTATATTTATTTCTTAAAGGCATGCAAAGGTAATTAATCTGAGTTCAGGTCCCAACATTTTCCAGCAATAGTAGTTTAGTTTTTCAGTAGAAAAGTGTTGGGTTATTGAGTAAAAAGATAATCTGTAGTGAGTTGTGATGCACTGCTTCATTCTTTTCCCTCAAGCACTATTGAAACATGAAGAAAATTATTGTTTGGCTCCTTACAGCATATATGTAAGTATAGATCTCCTAAGGATTAGTTAATGTTGACATAGTCAAGGTGCATGGCCATTTCATTGGAAACTAGTAATTGAGCTTTAATTGTGACGTGTTCACAAATCAGGATGTTTTAGATACAACAGATATTTACAAACATTCAAATATTTTTATGTATTTGAACTATTTTAGGTTTTTTTCTTAGCTTTTTAGTGGAAAATATATTTTGTTTAGCACTACCTGCCTTCTGAAAAGCTCTTCTCAGCCTTTGAGTTCAGTGTTTCCAATTGATATAGTATATTGTTAGAAAAATGTTCAAGATTCAGGGAAAGATGCTTATGTGCATTCATCAAGAAATACATTGGATTTAATGGTAGCATCTAAATTCAGCAATACAAACTCAGATTTCTTAAGGAAGATAGGAACTTCTTCCATAAATTCTGAAGTTTGAATACTGTGTATGCACATAAACAGTGAGATTCAATTTAGATTGAAGGTCTAAATCGATTTTATGTTGGGCTTTTTTAGGAAAAGTTTCACTGAAAGGGAAACTTTTCCTAAAAAAACCAGGGAGCAGTTCCTCTGAACAAAAATGGACAGTCTAAGCCAAATAGAGGGTTGCTCTTACCTAGATTTAGCAAAGATGGAGTCTGTAATGTCTCACTTCTCATGGACAGCTTCTGGTTTCTTCAATGCAAGATTTGATAAAGGTTTGGAAGAACAGAAATGTTGGAAGCTGATAGCACACGTTGGTACTGTTTGCTAAATCCAGTCGTATCCAAAGATCTGTACAAATGATAGGAAGGAGTTGGATTTTGAGTTCTTCAGCCATATACAAAAGTAATAATACTTTCAATATCCTTAACTTGGGAGGGTTCCTGTGCAGCTGGAAACAAGCAGTTGGCAGATCCTTACTTCACTTTGGTTTTGTAGTGTCCTTGTAGCAGAGGTTGATGGTTTATTTCCCTGCCCAAACTTTCCAAATGAACTGGCAGAGAACCAGGGTTGGAATTGTAGTGTCCACAGCAAACTTTCCACCGTGAACTTTACAGCATGTGTTTGTTCCAGCCTCTGCATGGGGCCAGCAGACACAGGAACCCCCCAGTGCAGAGGTGTGACAAGTGCCAGGGAGTGGCTCTAACAGATAAACTCCTTTCATTAAAAGCTTATTGTAAAACACAAGCTTAATTACAGTGTAAAAGCTGATTTTTTTTTTTTTATGTGAGCTATCTTTAAAAACTTTTTTCCCTAATTGTTTTAAATTTTTGTAAGTTTGAAATGACCAGCTTGTTGAAGTGCTTGATTTGTGTTTTCTGCATGTAGGGATAACCAGTGTGTAGCAAGTTACCTTGGGGCATCGCAAAAAATGATTGTGACCATTTTAAAGTTGCTGGGGTTTTTTTAATTGCTGGTTTAATGGGGATTTTATCTATTCTTTCTGGGAATCAAAATGTTATTAGTTCAGACTGCACTCCTCAAATTATTACCTAAGCATGTTTTTTGTGGCTCATATTAAGTTACTTTAGGTTTGAGTTTGGATTTTTACTTTTTCCCTAATCAAAGACAGTTTTAAAACCTACAACTGCTGAATTGTTCAGGAAAATCAAAATTCTCAGTTTTGTAGTTAGACTGTATCTGTTGTTATTTAAAAATGCAAAGTTTATATGAAAGGTGCCTAACAGTTATTAACTTTAGAAGGAGAATATCTTTCCAAATTAAACAAGATTTGCAGAATGAGTGATAAAAAAATTCAAGTAATTCATTCTGATTTAATATAAAATGTGTAATTCTGTGTATAAGTACTCAATATTTAAACACTTGCTGCTGGATGTATCATTTTTGCTTGCATTTCTAATTGCTTCATTTTGATTTATTTCTGAAATCCATTATGCCATGTGTAGTCACTGATAGAATTTCTGCAATGTTTTGGAAAGCAAACTTTAATTTGGGACTTCTTGGTTTTTAAAAGTATTTTAAGCAAATCAGCCACCTTTTTGCCAGGTATTTGGGTTGCTTGTACAGCATATCTTAACAAGAGGAATGTGTGCAATATGTATCACCTCATGTTTGTCTGGCAATGTTACTAAAATGTTAAGATGCAATATCTTCCTTTCACTTCAAGTTGGAAAAATTGCAGTATCTCTGATTTGGTGGTGTATTTATTTTTATCTATTCAGTGTATGGGCATATGGTTAGTTAGGTTCTTTTATGTGCATTATGTGCTTTTAGTAATTTCTGAGTTTTATCACTTCTGCATATGCACCAGTTGTAGCCATTTGCATGTTCTTTCAATATGAAGACCATGGGGAGGGGGGGGCTTCAAGGAAAGATTTCTGGAAACCTGAATAATTGTAAGTCAAAAAATGTAGATACTGCATCATTAACGTTTTTGGTATGGTGTGGGTTTTATAGCACCTATGTATGTTTGCAGTTATTAAGTTATTGCATAAATGTTTAAGAATGAGCATTTTTTTCATCCAAAATTTTGTATGTTTGCAAATATATTTTTGTAATAAAACTTCAAAACAAATGTTTCAGCACCTCCTAAAATCTTGTGATGTTTCTTTTTATTTCTAGAACTCTATCAGCCTACTGGAAGGTTCAGTTTTTATTTAGGATTAATATTTTCCAGAGAAAAAACTCAAATTCCTTTACTTCATTCGGGGGGTAGAACCAAATTGTATTTGTCCACATAGAAAATGCAACCTGACTGCTTGAAGGGCAGTGGGGAACAGCTTCTGCAAGGCCCTCTGCTGCTGTCAGCAGCCTTGTGTTCTGAATTTGATAAACAGATATGTTTCCTCTCACATTAAGAATGCAGCTGCACTTTCACTGGTTTGTAAGTACAGCTCTGTGTTTGGTGCCTTTCTGTAGCACTTTTTTATGGTATCCCCTTTCATCCTTCTAGACATGGCATTTCATTCTCAGTCCAGTGTTGGTCTTTGATCCAAGACATTGGAAATTGCAGTTGTCCTCCTACCATATCTTATCAGTATCGTGCTGCTGGTTGATCCAAGTTTCACAAAGTAAAATAGGGAAGAAAAACATAGAAGTTCATCTTGAAATTAAATAAAACCTTGGGCCTAAATCTTAGCTAGATGCTAATTCCCATTCTAACTCCCCATAGGGGCTGGTGCTTGCAGGGCAGGTCAAAGGCCAGGGAGGCCAGTGAAGAATGGCATTTGTTGCCCTGCTGGTTCATTTTGCACTGATTCCTGTACTATGTCCAGAAGCAGATTCTTCTAATAGAAGACTGCCATACAAAACAGGTACAGAAGTCATGGATTTACTGCAATATAAGTGGGAAAAAAAGTGGAAAACTGCTTAGAATCAAACTTTAAATTCTGGAATCTAGGTCTAAATTCCATATTAGGTGTGTTGCCTGTCTGGTTCAATATCAAGAATATTTTTTCAGTCTCAGTGCCATTCATCTGTTTGTCTTCTCTGGTGCAGGTGTTCCTCTTCACTGATACTCACAGGAAGTGCTGTCCTTTGCTTTGGGAATAAGAGAATACTTCTGAATTTCTCTGTATAGCTCCAGCTAAACCAGGCACTGTACACTTGATCCTGGTGCTCTACAGTCATGTTTTTTGAAAGTGTATGAGAGAATGAATCCCTACTACAATGGTGATATGTGCTGGATAGGATCAGGGAATAGGCATTAGGCTTCCTAAAGTTCATTGTCTAAAATCCAAATTTCATTTACAGGCTTGCAGAATGAAATAACAAGTTGTAGCTCATGTTCATGGGCCAAATTAATTGAAGTTGGTGGACTCATGTTTGGTAAGGGTTCAGCTACACTTCCTTCTCACTACAGAAGGTAATATCAACAGTAAGAAACCTGTCATTCCTACAGTTGGGGGTTTTTTTTGTTTGTTTGTTTGTTAATAGGATGCCTTCAAGTTACTAAATAGTCTTTATTATGACTGAGGTAAATTTCAGTTTAATTTTCTAACCAAAATATTAGAAAGTATAAGGCATGTTATTGAAAGATATTTCCAGTGCCCAGTAGTGGAATTTTTTCACTTATCTTCACACAACTTCAGGTGTGAATCAGCTTTTTCTATCTTATAGATTTTGATTGGGGGATTTATTTTTTGATCTGACCTACTAATTTAGGAGAATTGAACTCCTGTGATAGACCTGTAACTTAAAATACAGCCGTGTAAAACTCATCATTGTCAGTTATGCAACAATTTTTTCATAAGACACTCCTTATCAGGCTCAAAAAGCATTGAGAAAAGAGGGCAGTGAAGAGAGATTTTTATCAGTTGCTGCATTCTTGAAAGAGTACTGGCAATAAAAAGAGGGAAAGACAATGGAAT